AAACTCACCGGGCATGGACCTTCTTATCCGCGGTCCTAGTGGCGTCAATGGTAGGCATCCTCAGAGGTTGTGAGGTCTGTTGATAACAAGGAAAGTGGGGTTTAGATATCTGTGGTATAATGGGAGCAAGAACTCTTGTCTGTTGGAGGCAGTTGTGAATATTGCAATTGGCCACCTTGATTAGCATTGAATGTCCTAGCAGTTTTCAAGGTCTAGCTTCTTACTGCCTGGTGGAATCCTTTGTTGAGAGGCGATTAGCTGTCCCCGATTGTTATTTGTCTGGCTGGACACGCCTTCCTCTTCACAAATTTCTCCCTTTTGCTCTCCATTCCTGCCTCTTTGAATTCTGCAGCACTGCTGGTCACAGCTGAACTCCAGTTAGAACACTTAAGGGCCAGGGCTTCCCAGTTCTCGGTGTCTATGCCACAGTTTTTCAGGTTGACTTTAGGTCTATCTTTACATCTCTTTTCCTGTCCACGAACATTACAATTCCCATTCTTGAGTTGGGAGTAGAGTAACTGCTTTGGGAGACGGTGATCTTTGGGCATTCGGACAACATGGCTGATCCAGCGGGGTTGATGGTGGAGGACCATCGCTTCAGTGCTGGTGGTCTTTACTTCTTCCAGCATGCTGACATTTGTCCGCTTGTTTTCCCAAGAGATTTGCAGGATTTTTCAGAGGCAGCGCTGATGAAATCGCTCCAGGAGTTGCATGTGACGTCTGTAGACAGTCCACGTTTTGCAGGCGTATAGCAGGGTTGGGAGGACAACAGCTTTATAAACAAGCACCTTGGTCTCCCTACAGATGTCCTGGTCCTCAAACACTCTCTGCTTCATTTGGAAAAAAGCTGCACTCGCAGAGCTCAGGCAGTGTTGTATTTCAGTGTCAATGTTGACTTTTGTGGAGAGGTGGCTGCCAAGGAAGCGGAAATGGTCCACATTTTCTAATGATGGCGGAGGACCATCGCTTCAATGCTGGTGGTCTTTGCTTCTTCTTCCAGCACGCTGACCTTTGTCCGCTTGCCTTCCCAAGAGATTTGCAGGATTTTCCGGAGGCAGCGCTGATGGAATTGTTCCAGAAGTTGCCTGTGACATCTGTAGACAGTCCACATCTTGCAGGCGTATAGCAGGGTTGGGAGGACAATGGCTTTATAAACAAGCACCTTGGTCTCCCTACGGATGTCCCGGTCCTCAAACATTCTTTGCTTCATTCAGAAGAATGCTGCACTCGCAGAGCTCAAGTGGTGTTACAATGTTTCTTCAGATGCAGCCTAGAATTGCATGGGCTTCTAAAGCTGCATTACCTTCTGCTGCATCCATCACACTGGTTCTGATATAGAAGGGATGGACAATAGTTGAGGCCAGGAAAAAATACATATTTTATCCCCAAGGTTTGCTAATGTGTGTGGGGAACAATCCCACTCCATTTTTGACCTCTCCTTGGGTGCATCCTTACTGAAGAACCCATGCAATTAGACCTCACTGTTTTTATTTATCGTGTCATGAGCGAACCAAAACAGTTGTATTGCATTAAAAAAACAGACAAACAAACAAAACACAAAATTTGCAGACTCGGTATTCTATTAAATGTCCTTTGACCAGGATCTGGCCACTTGGAGTGCCTCTGGTGTTGCCGCAAGAAGGTCCTCCATGGCGCATGTGGCAGGGCTCAGGTTGCATTGCAGCAGGTGGTCAGTGGTTTGCTCCTCTCCACACTCGCATGTCGAGGATTCCACTTTGTGGCCCCATTTCTTGAGGTTGGCTCTGCATCTCGTGGTGCTAGAGCGCAGTCTGTTCAGCGCCTTCCAAGTTGCCCAGTCTTCTGTGTGCCCAGGGGGGAGTCTCTCATTTGGTATCAGCCATTGGTTGAGGTGCTGGGTTTGAGCCTGCCACTTTTGAACTCTCGCTTGCTGAGGTGTTCCAGCGAGTGTCTCTATTGATCTCAGAAAACTATTTCTTGATTTAAATAATCGGCGTGCTGGCTGATACTCAAACAGAGGATGGGCTTGAGATGTCTCTGCCTTGGTCCTTTCACTATTGGCTGCTACTTCCCAGCGGATGTCAGGTGGTGCAATACCAGCTAAGCAGTGTAATTTCTCCAGTGGTGTAGGGCTCAGGCACCCCGTGATAATGCGGCATGTCTCATTAAGAGCCACATCTACTGTTTTAGCGTGGTGAGATGTGTTCCACATTGGGCATGTGTACTCAGCAGCAGAGTATCATAGCGCAAGGGCAGATGCCTTCACTGTGTCTGGTTGTGATCCCCAGGTTGTGCCAGTCAGCTTTCCTATGATATTGTTTCTAGCACCCACTTTTTGCTTGATGTTCAGGCAGTGCTTCTTGTAGGTCAGAGCACGGTCCAGAGTGACTCCCAGGTATTTGGATGCGCTGCAATGGTCCAGTGGGATTCCTTCCCAGGTGATCTTCAGAGCTCAGGATGCTTGTCTGTTCTTGAGATGAAAAGCACATGTCTGTGTTTTAGATGGATTAGGGATCATCTGGTTTTCCCTGTAATTGGCAGTAAGAGCACCTAGAGCTTTGGAGAGCTTCTGTTCAACCATCTCAAAGCTCCCTGCTTGAGTGATGATGGCACGATCATCAGCATAGATGAAGCTCTCTGTCTCTTCTGGCAGTGGCTGGTCATTTGTGTAGATGTTGAACATGGATGGAGCAAGCACGCTCCCCTGAGGCAGGCCGTTCTTCTGTTTCCGCCATCTGCTTCTCTGGCCCTGGAACTCAACAAAAAAGCTCCTGTTTTGTAGCAGGTTTCCTATGAGGCGGGTGAGGTGGTCGTCCTTTGTGATATTATACATTTTTCTCAGGAGGAGGCGGTGGATCACAGTCTCATAGGCTGCTGACAGGTCTATGAAAACAGCTCCTGGGATCCGAGCTATGGGACCCTGGGATTAGTAGTATGACTTTCCCCAAACCACAACGGAGTATTGCAGCCATTTTGCACAAGCTACACCTTTTCTCATGGGTTTCTGTGCCTGGTTTTGCACAATTTGGTGGCAGCGCATTCTTCGTTTCATCAGGTCATAATAAGGTTTCTCGCTCTTTGGGAGTTTCCCGGCTTCTCATGGGTGAATCCAAAAAACAAAAGAGAACCGGGGTGAGTTTTCTCTCTCTTTCTTATGCCGTTGCAAAACCAGCTGGAAGGAAGCCACGAAGAATTGCAAATAAATGTGGTTTTTTTCCTGTGTTGGCAGAGAGGAGAAATGGCTCTGTAGTATTTACAAGTTGGTTACAGATGCAGGTCACTGAGAGTGCATCTACATGGCAGAATTAATGCAGTTTTGCACCACTTTAACTGCAAGGTTCAATGAGATCATGGGAATCGTAGTTTGGTAAGGCACCAGCCCTTTTCAGCAGACTTGTGAAGCTACGACTCCCAGGATTCCATGGCAGTGAAAGTGGTTCCAAACTGTGCTAATTCTACAGTGTAGGTGCACCTATGTATTTATGGGTGTGCATTCCTATGTATATATTTGTGTATGTGTGTGATTGTGTTACAGTTTTTCCTCTAAAAGTTTTACAAACAGGGTGTGTTAGTAAACAGATCCGCTGCTTTTCAAGCCCAAGCAAACGTCAAGCCAACGTTCTCACTCGTGATACACTTTTGCCAAATGCAGAAAATATCGCAATTCAAATACATTAGCAACTGGATCAGCCAGTGTGCAAAGAAAGAAAAACCAATAAATTAGACTCTCCTCTACAGTTCCATTTTGACGGGAGGGCTTGGATTGTACGAGGGTTGAATGAAAAGTAATGCCTCCACCTTTGTAACATGTTCCATGAGAGTTGGAAGGAAACCTGAAAGGACATCCAGTCTGACCCAGTTCTTCCAGGGTATCTTTTGGACTCTCCATCTTTGGAGGTTTTTAAGCAGAGGGTGGATGGCCATCCGTCGGGAGGGCTGGGATTGTATGAGGGTTGAATGAAAAGTAATGCCTCCAACTTCGTAACTCCTCAACAGATGGCAGTACTGGTATGCAGAAGGTACTGGCTTGTTCAGTAGACTCTCCTCTACAGTTCCATTTTGGTAAGAAGCCTTAGCATTGAACGGTTGTGTTGTTAACATGTGAAGTATGGAACCCTGCACAGACTGTCGGTCAATGTGACTTAGGCAAAGTGCAGTCATTGAATTCTTGACAACAGAAGGTGTCACCCAAAGGAGATTCCTCAGTGAATGCAAGTGTTTATGGTGATTGTGTTGTTGTGAGTACTGTGCGTCATGTCAGAATATTGACATTTGCCAACGGAAGGATTGCTAGATCAGCAGACACTGTTTTCAGAAATCAGGACTCTGCAAGCTTTTAGTTACAACAGAAAACTAAGTTTACTAAGTACATCTAGACACGTCCATTCACAGCAAGCATCAGACAGGAACTACAAAGCACAACACAACACTTTCTGAACATCTGCTTATCTGACTTCTGGCTGAGACCGGATCCTCCCTCTTTTTCCCAGCCAGGGAACACGTTATCTCATTTCTGTCAAGGTTACATTTTCTCTGCCTCAGCACTATGTTTTCTTAATACACAAAAGAGCAGAATAGAATCCATCTTGAAATACATCTTAATCCATCTTGAATTACATAGAAACATATTGAAAAACACACATGCATAACTCAATAATCCTGACACGTCACTGGGTGAGTAAGTTTAAAGATGTTGAGGTGATAACTTCTGCTGTCAAGAATTCAATGACTGCACATTGCTTAAGTCTCATTGACCAACAGTTGGTGCAGGGTTCCATACTTCACAATTTAACAACACAACCGTTCAATGCTAAGGCTTCCCGCCAAAATGGAACTGTAGAGGAGAGTCTACTGAACAAGCCAGTACCTGCCGCATACCAGTACTGCCATCTGTTGAGGAGTTTCAGAGGTGGAGGCATTACTTTTCATTCAACCCTTGCAGAAGGGGGTTGGACTGGATGGCCTTTGGGGGTCTCTTGCTTGTGTGATATGACATCCTCTCCATTTTTTGACCTCCCCAGGAGCAACGTTTCCCCCCTTGATACCCAAGGGAGGGAGGAAAGCAGGCCAGGATGATGGGCAACGTGTCTGAGAGTTGGCTCCACAAACTCAATGCGATGCTGAGAGTCTTAAACCAGACACTGCACCATCAGGAGGCGTGTGCCCAAGGCATGAATCACGTGGAGGAAGCAACAGCAGAGGAGAAGGAGACCTACGCCTACATGTACATCCTCTTTGTCATGGTCCTCTTTGCGGTGACTGTGGGGAGCTTGATCCTGGGATACACGCAGTCCGGGAAGGAGGTGGACAAGCAGAACGACCCCTACCATGTTTACATCAAGAACCGGGTCTCCATGATATGATCATGGGAACATTAGATGCGCTGCCGGGCATGATGTCTTCGTAGCATCCTTCCACAATGACTTTTTAGGAACCAAAGAAGCACCCTCCGATGGGTGCAAGAAGACTTCTTTTCAAAGCCAAAAGCAAAGTGTTTGAAAGATTGCACTATGTATCATGACTGGGTCATAAATGTCATTTCCTAATTGGGTTGCTGTGAGTTTTTTGGGCTGCCAGGCCATGTTCCAGAAGCATTGTCTCCTGGCGTTTTACCCACATCTATGGCAGGCATCCTCTGAGATTGAGAGGTGTGGTGGAAGCGAACATCAGGAGAAAATGCTACTGGAACATTGCCATACAGCCCAGAAAACTCACAGTAACCCAGAAATTCCAGCCATGAAAGCCTTCGTCAACACATTTCCTAATTGGTTCTGAAATGGCAGGGAGGAGGTTTCAGGAAAAGAGATAAAGAGAGGTCCGGAGGTCTGAAAAGCACGGATTTTATTTCCAGCTGGGACTCTGGTGAGGAGTTCTGTCCAAAAGCACCAGAGCAATGATATAGGCATTGACTGTGGCTTTTATAGTTTCCAAATGCAAGCAAACAAAGAACATGCATCTACATACATTGACATCATTCACTGCGTCATCTTAGCATCATACAAATATCAAGTTCTACCTTCCATCATGCAAAAGGCATGTGTCTGTGTATTTCTTTCTAGCAGCAGCTTACATCCATCAATCAAGGGGCCTAACTTTGACCTGTCAGGAGGGAGAGGGGGGCTCCTTTTAGAGCCTAGTTGTACCAGCCTGTTGCTCCTAGGACAGGCTTATCTCTCTCCTGGAATGTATAGATAACATGCCCCCTCTTCAGCTCCCCTCTTTCTGTGCCTGGACAGCAGCTTGCTTGTCCGTTAGCATTCTTTCTATACAGAGAGAACTTGATTTTTCTATACATCACAGTGCTTGTAAAGTACATACAATTTATACATAAATCAATATCTATTTTTCCAATATCTCCTCATCAGTTCTATCATAAAAACATGGGAAAAGTTTATTAAACTGCCCAAACTTTGTTTTTGCTGGAGGGACATAATCCTGCTATAGCACATTTTGCTCTAATTTCTCAATATCTCACAGAGTCTTAACCAATTCAACCTAATTTGCGGCACAAAAATGAATTTTCTGGAGTGGGATAATGACCTTTAAAGTAAGTACCACACAATTGAACAGCAAATACTTTCAAGGCAGGAACAGATGTATTTTTTGTCATGTCAGGAGCCACTTGAGAAACTGCAAGACTGTAGGTTTTATATAGCAATATTAAATGACCACTCACAAGCCGGTTTTGCTTGGAAATGAATATATTGCTTGTATCTCTGCAGCAAAGAAAGACACTACTGACTTTCCCCCCCCACCACTTCCTTTTATACACCTTTCCTGCCCAACTCCCCCTCTTCTCGGTTTCTTGATTAGAGCTTGTTGCTGCTTCACAAGTTCCAATAAAAGGTTTCCACCACCCTCTGCTGGCTTCAAAATGTCACAGAAAGAAAACTGAGGCAGCCAGGATGATTCAGTCAGGATGTCATGGAGGGAATTTGTGATGTCTTCATGCCATCAGAAATTGACTCCTGACAGCAAGTCGCTTCTGGAGTAAGAGAAGTGGCAGTCTCAAGAACATTGCCCGGGGATGCCCAAGTATGTTGCCATCATGTGGGAGGCTTCTCTTCTGTCCCCACATGTGAATCTGGAGCTGACAGATGGGAGCTCACCCCAGTTCCCAAAATTAGCACCACTGACCTTTTGGTCAGCAGTCCTGTCAGCACAAGGGTTTTTAACCCATTGCATCACTGGAGGGTCCTATTTTGTGACATAGTGTTATGGGTCAGTAGATATGTCGATATCTGAGACACAGAAGTGCAAAAAAGATTAATAAAAAATGGAATAAACACTGTATTCAATCATTTCATTCCTTAGACATGAACAGGAACTCAAGCAACTGGACAAAAATTCAACAAAATAATACTTTTAAATAAAATAAAATAAAATAAAACAACAATGCTGTTTTTGTACCAAAACTGTGTTATGTTAAGTTTGTCTTTATTGGTCTGAACTTGCTTTTAAATATGAATATCAAGTCCGTGCAGAGTCTGTGGTGTGATACAGTATGGGGGATAGTACTAGTTAGGCCCATTTTAATAGGGAATCTCAAGTAACTAGAAGCTACGTTTATCTGGCCAATCCTCATGGGGACTAGTTAACTGTGGCCCTATCTACATTGAGCTGCAAAAACAACAACAGCAACAACAACAATAATAACACATTTTTAATATTCTGATCTATTTTCCCGAGGGTGATGTCGAACACAAATTTGGGAGGACCTGCTTAAGCAGAGACCACTCAGATCTAAAAGGAGGATCCGGGAAACCTGGCAAGACAGCAAGCACCAAGAAAGATTTTCCCTAAATTTCCCAAAATAAAGTCTCACCAAGTTGAAGGAAAGCCACCAAGGCTTTATTTCATTCCAGCTGGAAAGGATGACGACTGCAGTGATCTGCCAAACAAGCCAACATGTTTGCTAGGCAGGTAAATACAGGATATATAGTTTTCCATTCAATTTTCCCTATGCCCACCCCCAGAGCTGGTTTTGCTGTGATTGACTGTGACATCAGTGAGCTGGGAGGAGATCCAATGAGGGCCCTGGCCCTGCTATGGCTGCTCAGCCAATGAGGTGGAAGGGAGGCAGGCAACAGGGAAGCAATGAAGAAACGTCTAGGTGTGTTGCAATCCAGAGCAGGAAACGAGGCCCTAAGATAACTATCCACCACACTTGACTGTGAAAAACAATCCTTTTTTATTGAAGAAAAATGGTTACAAAATAAAGGAAAAATGCAAGTCAAAAGCCACAGCAAAATCAGCAAACATGAATTTAAATGGACAAAAACGAAACTCAAAGCCACACTGTAAAATACTGGAACCTGTTAGCAATCCACTAACCGTACTTGATATCCTAGAAATCCCGGGAGAACTGTCAAGGTCTTCATCAATCTGAAACGATGCCTGAACTGAGAAAGTCAGCCCGGCGGAAGGCACTTAAAGCCGAAGAATTGGTTCCGTGAACCGCCCCTCTGCTTTGAAGCCATTGTTTGTATTTCTCTTAATCGGGAAGACCTTCGCAAACTGAGTGATTTACTTCTGTCTTGCCAGATCTGGCCCCTTCTGTTCTCATTAGAGTTACCAGGTGCAAAAGGGAGTGAAAGTTCATGGCTTCCCTCTGAAACATTCTCATGAACACTGGTACTTTCATTTTCCAAATCTACAGAAGTTTCTTCCTCACTAATTTCAGGAGCATTGGCATTTTTCCAAATCTACAGAAGTTTCTTCCTCACTAATTTTAGGAGCATTGGAATCAAGAGGTACATTTTCATTAGCATCAGTAAATATACTTTCATTAGCATCAGGAGGAACAAACAGAGAATCAGGTTCAAGTTCAAACTCAGGCTGAACCCCAACAAGGTGTCCTGTTCATGAACCAGCAACCCTGGTTCTAGGGATTTCCAAATTTCCTGAGCCAATAATCCCCTAAGAAAGGACTTGACCAAAACCTATTTGCATGGACAATAAGTAAATGGCTCTTTTTTCTGGACCTCAGAGGGCTGATAGGCAGGCCATCCAGAACAATGGAGCCTCTGCACATACTAAATCACCCAACACAAAGGACATCTCCCCATCAGTGAGGAACTGGGGATTGTTGCCGTCTCGCCCCCCGCCCCCATGTCATATCCCAATCTCCAAAACCAATCTCAACTTCATAAATGAAATCAATATCACAGGACAGTAAGACAATGGACCTCGCCTCTCGGGGCTAGACAAAGATGTTAATTCAAAGATCAGGACAATAACCCTGACTAGGCTTGAGAGTCTAAAGCTATCGCTTGGTCACTTAGCAAACATTGATCATTTGTAATCCAGTCACCTAGACATTTCTTCATTGTTTCCCTGTTGCCTGCCTCCCTTCCACCTCATTGGCTGAGTGGCCAAAGCAGGGCCAGAGCCCTCATTGGCTCTTCTTCGGGCTCACTGACATCACAGCCAATCACAACGAAGCCAGCTCAGGGGGTGGGCTCGGGAGGTTTATTTACAGTATTTCTATACCGCTTTTCTCACTCCTAGGGGGACTCAAATTTGACAGCTCTATAAATATTGTATTTCTCAGCCCACTGGTTATGTCGGTTCCTGGGAAGATAACTGTGGCCATCATCCGTTCCAGCTGGAATGAAATAAAAACTTTGGTGGCTTTCCTTCAACTTGGTGAGACTTTATTTTGGGAAAATTAGGGAAAAATATTTTTTGGTGCTTGCTGTCTCGCCAGGTTTTCCGGATCCTCTTTTTGGGTCTGGCTGATCTCTGCCTAGGCTGGGCCTCCCAAATTCATGTTCGGTATCAAAACTGCATTAAATTCAGCCTTAGGGTTGCAGATGCAATCCTAAGGCCCCACCGACAATGCCATATCATGCAATTTGAACTGCAATATAATGGTAAATGTAGTGTCATATAATGCAGATTGAACTAGATCACATGTTGTATAACCCAGTTGCAAATGATCCCAATAAATAACTGTCCCAGGACTCGATGTGCGGATTTGGGTGTCACCTCAAACAGATTGGTCTCCTCTGTCTTCCCTTCCTTTTGCAGAGTTCAGAAACTTTATCACATCTTCAGATGCTTCCTGTTCTTCTGGAAGGGAACATTTTTACAGGGCAATGAAATCCTTCTAGAGGAGGAGGCCTTGTTCTAGTTGCGTATGTCCATGTTTCAATACAGTTCAGTATTATCTACATTTATGGACATCCACTTGACATCTGGAAACATCTCTCATGCAGATATGGAACTTAGATGTTATTCCCAAGGAGCTAAATCCATAGTATCTGTTGCCTGCCACTTATTTCTAAAAGGAATCTGATGATATTGTTTTTATTATCTTATATTATTATTGTTCGGTCTTGGCTTTTCTGAATCCAACTATTTTGCTATCCACTGGAGGCGGCATGCAGTGCTGTCCTAGGGTGCATCTACACTGTGGAATTAATCCAGTTTGGTTCCACTTTAACTGCCATAATTTAATGCAATGAAATCCTGGATTTTCTTTTTCTTTTAATGATAAATCAAACTATACAATTCACCATTCTGAACACAAGGTGGCAGGAAAGATACAACAAATGTATATACAAGGAATCCACTAAGACTGAAAAAGCCACCAATTTGAAGACCACTGTGAAGTTATTGCATGAATTACAATAGAGTATTTACTGGGACAAACAGTTAAGGCTATTTTTCATTCTTTCTTTTACAAAACCCTGGAATTTTGAAGTTCTACGAGGTCTTTACACTTTCCAGCCTATGAATTCTGGTCTCTCACTAAATTATAACTCCCAGTATTCAGCCAGGGAAGTCAAAGTGTTGCCAAACTGCATTAATTCCACAGTGTAGAGGTGCCCCTAATGTTCTCGACTCAAATTTTTTTAACTCAGGGCCCTTCTACATTGCCATGTAATCCAGATTATCAAATCAGATGATTCACATTATCTGCTTTGAACTGGATTATATGAGTCCACACTGCCATATAATTTAGTTCAAAACAGATAATTTGGATGTTATATGGCAGGGTAGATGGTGCCATAGAATTCTAGAGTTGGAAGGGTCTCCCAAAGGCCATCCAGTCCAATCCCCTTCTGCCGGGCAGGAGGACACCATCCAAGCCCTCCCAACAGATGACCATCGAGCCTCTGCTTAAAAACTTCCAGAGAAGACTCCATGAGACTCCCAGGCAATCAATATGGCAGTAGAGGTCAAAGGGAACCTCAAAGGCCATATAGTCCCACCTACCACACAGAAATACTCAATGCAAGCTCTCCTGACAGCCTCTGTTTAAAACCTTCCAGAGAAGGAGGCCCCTTCTATGCCTTCTATATAAAATCCAGATTATCTGCTTTGAACTGGATTATATGATGTAGACTCAGGGGAGTCCTGTGTGCCAAGTTTGGTTCAATTCCATCGTTGGTGGAGTTCAGAATGCTATTTGATTGTAGGTGAACTATAAATCCCAGCAACTACAACTCCCAAATGACAAAATCATAATTTTTGAGTGATGGTCACTCCTTGTGTAGTGAGATGTTTTGTTGCCAAATTTGGTGTGATTTCGTTCATTGGTTCTTTTGTTTTTAAAGTACTCATTATGCACAGAGCATTTATAGATAGATATATACATGAATACGTTGCTCTATTTCAGCACATTGTTATATCCTAATGTAGGAAGGTGCCTTTCACAAGCACTTTTTGCCACCTTTACTTAAAAAGGATTCTCGTAATAGGGTGCCCTGACAAATTTGTGAACGTGGCTCCTCCATGATGACATGATGGCAACAGTTTTGGACAGCAATGGCTCCCAAAGTGACCCATTTAAGGTGGAATCGGGTGTCAAACAGGGATGTGTTATTGCCCCAACTTTATTTTCCATCTTCATCGCTATGATACTTCACCTCGTTGATGGGGAGCTTCCCACAAGAGTGGAAATCATCCATCGGTCAGATGGCAAGCTATTCAACCTCAGCAGACTGAAAGCCAAAACCAAGGTTACAACAACATCTGTTATAGAACTCCAGTATGCTGATGACAATGTCATCTGTGCGCATTCAGAAGAAGATCTACAAGCCACTCTAAACACCTTTGCAGAAGCATACACGAAGCTCAGCCTGTCATTGAACATCGAGAAAACCAAAGTGCTCTTCCAGCAGTCACCAGCCAATCCCTCTCCAATGCCAGAACTACAGCTCAATGGTGTAACATTAGAAAATGTTGACCATTTCCGCTACCTTGGCAGCCACCTCTCCACCAAAGTCAACACTGACACACCGCCTGAGCTCTGCGAGTGCAGCATTTTTCCGAATGAAGTAGAGAGTGTTTGAGGACCGGGACATCCGTAGGGAGACCAAGGTGCTTGTCTATAAAGCTATTCCCCTCCCAACCCTGCTCTATGCCTGCGAAACATGGACTGTCTACACACATCAAATGCAACTCCTGGAACGATTCCATCAGCACTGCCTCCGGAAAATCCTGCAAATCTCTTTAGAAGACAAACGGACAAATGTCAGCGTGCTGGAAGAAGCAAAGACCACCAGCACTGAAGTGATGGTCCTCCGCCATCAACTCCGCTGGACTGGCCGCGTTGTCTGGATGCCCGACCACCTTCTCCCAAAGTAGTTGCTCTATTTCAAACTCAAGAACGGAAAACAAAACGTTGGTGGACAGGAAAAGAGATTTAAAGATGGGCTCAAAGCCAACCTTAAAAATTCTGGCATAGACACTGAGAACTGGGAAGCCCTGGCTCTTGAGCACTCCAGCTGGAAGTCAGCTGTGACCAGCAGTGCTGCAGAATTTGAAGAGGCACAAATGGAGGGCGAAAGGGAGAAACGTGCCAAGAGGAAAGCGCACCAAGCCAACCCCGACCAGGACCGCCTTCCACCTGGAAACCAATGCCCTCACTGTGGGAGAAGATGCAGGTCAAGAATAGGGACCCACAGTCACCTATGGACCCACCCTGGAGGATTATCCTACTTGGACAATGAGGGATCACCTAAGTAAGTAAGAGTAGTCATGCCATGTAGGTAAGAGAAACTGTACAGTTTTTTAATTCAGGAATGTTTATGTATATGTAAACATATTGGCATTCTTTGTATGTATGTATGTATGTATGTATGTATGTATGTGTGTATGTATGTGTGTATGTGTGTGTGTGTGTGTGTGTGTGTGTGTGTGTGTGTGTGTGTGTATATATATATATATATATATATATATATATATATATATATATAAAATGGGGAAGGGTGGGAGGAATGGAAAGAATCTGTGGGGCAGACAAGGGCTGCTCTTCTTTTCCCAAATGTAGTTGCAATTAAAGGTGGACTTTCCTATGTGAGGAAGTCCTTCTCCTTGAGGGTCCTTATCCAGGTAAGTCACTGTCCAAAGACACAGACCCTCAGCCGAATGGGAGCCAATGGAGAGAGTTTTAGTGGGCAGGTGCTCTCCTCCTATTCTGCCCACAGCCACGAAGGACTGCCCCGATCCCCACATCCGCTGGCGTGGGTCTCGATCTCCGAGGCAGAGAAAGGCACCTGGCAGATGGGGCACTGGACCCAGCCTTCTTCCCATGATGATGAGGAAGAGGAGGAGGAGGAAGGACTGGGTGCGAGGTCTTCTTCTTCTCCACACCTGGAGGCATGCGCAGGTAAGGCATCGGCAGGGAAGCAACCTGGGAAGGGAAGAAGGGGATTCCAAGAAGCTTTCAGGCTAAAGAGCTACGTTGAACTGACACTTTCCCTTCGTTCCCGAGAAGCCTAAATCCCCTTTTGCTAACATGAAAACATTACATTCTCACCAACATGAAAGCATTGCGATGACCTTTCCCCGAGCTGGCTTCTCTTCTGCTGGCTAGGCATGAACTCCTCCTGACCCGCAAATCAAGGCGTGCTTGCCGGGTCAGGTCACTATCAAGGCTTTCTGCACTATCACTATCAGTGTGGGAAGACAGAGGCCTCTCCACCTGTTCGCTATCTAAATCAGTGGCATTCCTTTCTTCTCAGAGAACATCTCAAGCTCAGGCCCAGAATCACGCTGAACCACAACACTCACCTGCGCAGATGGGACAGGTGCCTATGGCCACCACTCCATCCTCCGGCCTGCTCACTCCTCCCTTTCTCTCTTCCTCCTCTTCATTTTCTCTTCCTTCCACATTCTGCTGATTTCTCTTCTGGTCTTGGGCTCCTCCTCCCTTCCTCTGAGAGACATTCCTGGGCCTTCAAGAAGAAACATCCATAGACGTTCAGAAGTCGGACACGACTGGACTTAATGTCAGGGAAAAACCTTTACCTTTACTGGAACTGTGGCACAGCTGGCTGGGAGTCAGCTGCATTAAGATCACTACTGACCGAAAGGTCATGATTTCGAAGCCAGCCCAGGTCGGAGTGAGCTTCCGACCAATTTGTGTAGCTTGTTGTCGACCTTTGTAGCCCGAAAGACAGTTGCATCTGTCAAGTAGGAAATTTAGGTACCGCTTATGCGGGGAGGCAAATTTAACTAATTTACGAGACCATAAAAATCTCCAGCAAGCATGCAAAGAATGAGGAAGTACTCCATCAGTGTCACAAAAGGACGGTGAAGCGACAGCGCCCCTGGTGGCCAGAATACCCTCATGAAAAAGCTGGAAAGTTAAATAGCCTCTGTGTGTCTGTCTATATATGTCGTGTGTCTATAGCATTGAATGTTTGCCATGTATATGTACATTGTAATCCGCCCTGAGTCCCCTGCGGGGTGAGAAGGGCGGAATATAAATACTGCAAATAAATAAATTATAATCTATTTATACACATGAACCTGGCTGTGGCGCAGTTAGTTAGTAGCCAGCTGCATTAAACCACTACTGACCGAGAGGTTATGAGTTCAAAGCCAGCCCGGGTCTGAGTAAGTTCCCGGCCATTAATAGTCTAGCTTGTTGTTGACCTATGCAACCCAAAAGACAGTTGCATCTGTCAAAATTAGGTACTGCTTTATGCTTAAATTTAACTAATTTACGATGCCATAAAACTTTCCAGCAGCGTGCAGAAGAACAAGGAAGTACTCTATCAAAGGACTCAGTGGCACAAGTGGATGGTGAAGTGGCAGCTCTCCCTGTGGCCGGAATCGAGCATACCCTCATGAAGCCGGAAAAACTGGAATGTTAAATAGTCTCTGTGTCTGTCTATATATGTTGTATGTCTAAATGGCATTGCATGTTTGCCATGTATATGTGCATTGTAATCCGCCCTGAGTCTCCTGTGGGGTAAGAAGAGCGGAATATAAACAATGTAAATAAATAAAGAAAAGTGAAAGTATTGTCATGTTCTGCAGCTGATGGTGCTTGGTGATGGAAGGGTTAATGTAAGTATTCGTTCTAAAAGGTTGAGTAATCTTGTAAGTAAGAGTTCATGGGTGAAAGCAATTAAAGGTGGAGGTATGTACGAGATAGGTTGCAGCTGGGTGTTTGTGGATATAAGGAGCGAGCCTTAGAAGTGATCTCCGGGGGAAAAGTATTGTTATATTTTGGTGGTGGATGCTGCTGGTTTTCCCCCCAGGTCTGTTGGATTTTCGGTATCCTGACCTGTCTCCTGTAATCTTGGAACCCTGGGACCTTGAATCTTTGGACTGGCTTTTGACTCTTGATCCCTAGACTTTGTTTATTGAACTCTTGGCATTTGACCACTGGATTGGACCCTTTGACTACGGTGTAGCTTTTGCTATCAGTTTTTGTTTATTCTGTGGCTGAGTGCTATCTTTATGTTTTATATTTTGGTCTATTAAAACAGTCAGCAAGTGAGTGCTGCTTTAATTAAACTGTTTGATCAAACTGGGAGTTTGGTTCATCTCTACCTAAATAAGGCAGAGCCCTGGCAACGTGACAAGTATGTGTGTATGTTGCTGGGATGCCGACTTACAGACAAGCTTTCTAATCCACAAACATTTATGATCCTCACCCATGAAGAGCCACCAAAGACCCTCCCTCCAATGGCATTGCAGGTTATAAAAAGCGCCATGAACATGTCCAAGAGCCCTGCCAATGTCCTCCGCCAATACCAGACTGCCCACCACCCAAGTGAAGGTTTTCCTACGGGGACAATTCCATCCTAGATTTTATGTGTTTCCTCCGCCACAGACATCCCAGTGTTTCTTACTCTCTCCATTGGTGTGAAATTTGCATGACCCTATCCTATTATTTTCTATGGCACGCAGCAAACAGACCATCCACATTTAATCATTCACCAGAACTGAACTGAGAAGCAAGTGCCAAAGACAATCAAGATTACCTTCCCACATTACTGCCACCCGATCCTCTTCTTCGGTTTGTTTTCCTCCCATCTCTTCTTCCAGAGGATTCCTGCTTGGACCCTGAAAGATGCACCAGGAAAACAACTTCAGCAAGTTAAGATCAGTTAAATGGGAGACTAGAAGTCCCTTTGGGGAGATAGGGCAATATATAAATACAGTATTATTGTTGTTGTTGTTCATCCAAATACCTGGGAGTCACTCTGGACCGTGCTCTGACCTACAAGAAGCACTGCCGGAATATCAAGCAAAAAGTGGGTGCTAGAAACAATATCACACGAAGCTGACTGGCACAACCTGGGGATCACAACCAGACACAGTGAAGACATCTGCCCTTGCGCTGTGCTACTCTGCTGCTGAGTATGCATGCCCAGTGTGGAACACATCTCACCACACTAAAACAGTGGATGTGGCTCTGAATGAGACATACCGCATCATCACAGGGTGAGCGCCCTACACCACTGGAGAAATTACACTGTCTAGCCGGTATTGCACCAGCTGACATCCGCCGGGAAGTAACAGCCAATAGTGAAAGGACCAAGGCAGAGACATCTCCAGCTCATCCCGTTTGAGTTTCAGCAAGTACGTCAACGACTTGAATCAAGAAATAGTTTCCTAAGATCTACAGAGACACTCGCTGGAACACCTCAGCAAGCGAGAGTCCAAAAGTGGCAGGCTCAAACCCAGCACCTCAACCAATGGCTGATACCAAATGAGAGACTCTCCCCTGGGCACATAGAAGACGGGAGGACATGGAAGGCACTAATGCAAAGAGACAGAATGGGGGACAATGCCTGGCTTGGGAGCAGGACGTGTGAAAAAGATCTTGGAGTCCTTGTGGACAACAAGTTAAACATGAGCCAACAATGTGATGTGGCGGCAAAAAAGGCAATGGGATTTCGGCCTGCATCAATAGGAGCGTAGTGTCTAGATCTAGGGAAGTCATGCTCCCCTTGCTCTATTCCGCTTTGGTTAGACCACACCTGGAATATTGTGTCCAATTCTGG